GAAGGTAACCCCGTATCGTAAAACTCATCCACGTGGTAGTGATAGAGATAAGACCATTCGAGTTCCAACCGAACAACGAGATACCGGCTGAATGGTATTTTCTTGCGGAAGTTTCGAACTCGCGAAAATTTTTGATAGCCTTTAAAAGTTCCGAACGCTTTTACATAAATATTGTATTTTAAACTTTGAATGCTTCACTTATTGTTAGATGTCCGTAGATCTCTCTCGATGGTTTCTCAATAGTTTCTCAAACTGGAGAGAAGAAAAGAATTGTTGAATTATACATCAGAAGTTCATAAATGAAAATACTACTCCTTCTTTTCTGTGCTTCGCAATTTCTGTTGCTTAATTTTTCACCCGGTTAAAATTAACGTATACCAGGGGGACATTGAGAGGATTTGAGAAACTATTTCGAAAAATATTATGCACAAACACTACATAGTTCAAATACAGGAGGCTCTACTGTGTTTTCATTAATACAAGTTCCATTTCACTTGTATCAAAATGTATCCTACTGTTTTTATTTATTACTATTTGCAGTTGTATTAGTGTCGAAGTCTAAGAAGTTACCCAGTTAGAAGTTAATGTTACAAAAATAAAGTTAGAAGTTAAATATAACTCGTTCATTATAGTGTCGAAGGAATTGAAACAGCTGTTTCATTTTTCTTTTTCTGTACGACCCCATACTTTTTCTTATTGAACTCGAACCTTAAAAATTTAACCTCGAGTGCATCCTAGGAGGGCACTTTATTCTACACAACCCAATAACATTATATACGAGCTAATATTTTTTTTTAGTGAACTCTAATCTTAAAATTCAACCTCGAGTGTATCCCAGGGGACACTTTATTTTACACAACCCAATAACATTCTATACAAGCTAATACATTTTTTTATTGAACTCTAGTCACAAAATTCAACCTCGAGCACGTCTCAGGAGGCACGTCTTGCGGATGTCATACGGCCATTGAAAGCCTCCCCAGGACTCGTTCGCTTATTCGCGCGAGTACACACATACACGCGACGGTCCGTCACGGGGACGCAATATTCAACGACTTATAGCAATATCGCGACGCATTTTGGAGTGGCCGCAGGATCACGTGTAACCACGTCGACTGATCACCGAGGAACACGTGCGGGTTACGTGCGCGCGTCCCCGTGATTTGTGCGCCCACGAAAATTTCATAACAGCGTCCGCGTCGGGACAGGGGTTGTAACCAGGGGTGAAAGATAGTGAATTCGTGGCCCCCACTAACAAGATACATTCAATTTAGTCAGTGGTCTCGACATCACGAACCCCTGTTTTGATCGGAATATATCTTCATGGTTCGGTTAGGACGAAATGAACCCATTAGCATTTGCCACGCATTTTCGGTGCTCTTCTTTATCTTGCTTATTACATTTGAAGGGTAGGGAAGAAACGGGAAATGACCATTTTTAGTGATTTTACGGTGTATAACACCATTTTGTCGGTGACAACTGGAACTATAGAACTGTTAAATCAGATAAGGGGTTGTAGAAATGTCCAAAGAATCAAGAAGATATATATCGAGTATGCCAATAAGTAATCCACTATTTCGAAAGTCAAGGATCTACACAACATCATTTATATCTGTAACGATTTTCCAGCAACGATATATTTTCTGTCTAAAATATATCGTTTTGTGGTTCAAAAACATTGTACACAACTTGTTGGTACACCGAATATTAAAACGCAGTGAAACATACCCCCAACACTGTACACAAACTCGAGTGTCCTAAACCAACCATTTAAGACAGTGTCATCCCCCACGGGCAAGTATGAGCACAGACCTCCAGATGCTTCCGGAGGATCAACAAACCCCAAAGTTTCCTACGATCCGAATAGCAAATGGACCAGGAGAGACAAGTCTACACCGTTATTGAATTAAACCCGAAGACGGACTAAGGAACCGTTCTCGCGAGGGGGTTTCTTCGATCCCGTCTCGGAGGAAACGAAAATAAAAGAAAAGAGGAGGGAGGGATGAAGGGCAACGTCTGCATTCCGTGCAGTTTCACAAAGTGTGGCTTACCCTTAACGACTCGCTCGTTAGACGCGAGTGGATTTAGCGTGGTTACCGACGGAATTGCCCCGGAGATGGAGCAAGGAACAAGACCAGGACGAAAAGAATTCAAAGGGTGAAAGGATTGGAGACTTCGTACCCCGACGTCAAGACGGAAGCACTTTGAAGGAGGTCAAGGTGAATAATCTAATTGTCGGCGCAGACGGAATCGCGGCTGAAACTTCTCTGTCTCTCCCTCTCTCTTCACCTCCTTTAAACAAGATTAATCGAGCCTCGACTCGGCTAGAACCGATCCGATATCCTGTTGAGGTTACTGGCGCGATTAAGTAAACGGGATTCGTCGCTTTGAACACTTAAAACGGTAGAAATTCTGAGCAATTCACCCTCTACGTGGCACACGATTTCAATGAACTATCGATTTTCGGGATGGTTGATGAGTCTAAATTACCGATTATAGTTACGCGGATTCAGGGACGAATGTTTTATGACAGATTTAGTGGAAAACATACCATCCATTACTTGTAAAAAATTACTAAAGAAATGTTTAAAAATCAGTAAATACAGTAATGTATCTATGAATGCGACGTACTTGGGGCCGCTTCGGAGCATTCATGACAAGGCGAAAAGGTTTTCAGCCCCTCATTTTGTTCTTGGCCCCCAACCAATGCTTAGCTTCTGTTTACTCTGTTTTAATTGGTTCCAAAGTGGGACTCTACCCACGGGTGGGAATAACGCCGTTTCTCGTGTCGCATTCATCGAGGAATCACTGTAGCATCAACTAAAAAATTACGAAACAATACTTGAATAGTAGGAATAATAAAAATGGGTAAACTGAGTGTCAATTATTATATTTAATATACTACATGGCGTAATTATAAAACCACCCTAAACATTTAATTCTTTATGTATTCTGGTGAAAATCAGATCTGAATATTCGCCGAGTGCGTTTGCTATTAAATACAATATGGCGGACATGTTTTGTCCATTTCTTACTGTTTCTGCTCACCATAAACACTAATGACTGCACTGCGGATTTTATGCACTCATCGTACGCTTTATCCATTAAAGACAGTAAACTAATAACCTCGATGAAGCTCAATAAGTCAATTTAATGCAAATCAATGTTCAATCAGCTGCTACTTAAAAACTATTTGTTAAATTAAGTCGCAAAAAATTCTGAGATGACGTATTGAATATTGCAGATCACATTTTCATGTTTAAATATTACCACTTCAAATTTCATCATTTTTAAACAAAATTCCGAAAAAAAAATTTCTGAGCTTCCCTGAAATTACTACAACATGACGCCAATAGTACCATTTTTAATGATGCCTCAAAGATATTCTCCCTCAAAATCAAATTCTGAGTCAATTTGACCCAGTGTGATAACGGAGGGTTAAACTTTCTTTCGACCAACACCATATCTCCACACCCCAATTTTTAATTTAAAAAAAGACACTTTTCAATTCTCATAAAACCCCGTCTAAGACAGAAAGTTCATTCAGAAGTTTACAATTCACTTTTTTTTATAAAAAGATGTCTGTTTTCTTACAACGTTGCGTACGCATACATTCGGGGAAGTCATACGTAGAAAAGCATGAGTGTAGTATTTTCGATCTTGTTCGAAAAATCAATAGCGCACAAGGAATTTCAATATTGATAACGTAAGATAGGGGGAAAGGAAACCTGCGAGAAAATCCAGCACGCTTCTCTCTATATTCATGTTTCATCGTGGACGAGGGACAGAATGGCATTGCGCTCGTTCCTCCTGTGTACATACGTGCCCTCGAACTTTTCTCTGTTCATCATCGATTCGAAACGATCCGAACGTGTGCAGTTACCCGCGAGTCTGTGTACAACGCGAAGTACACTTCGGATGGAGTTTGCGATTCGTTTCCTTTTACACGGGCCCAGGCTACTGAACGATCGCCATCTTGCAAGAACTTATTACTACATCCGATCGTCCCGTGTACCACGGAGATTTATTTTCGATTTCGTAGCAATCGTCTCGCTACCGATTGCATTCGATTCCTCAAACACTTTTAGTTTTCTCGTTTCTTGATTTCTACAAGCGAGGTGAGAAAAGCTTTGACAAACTCGATCCTCTTCGCGATGACTTACTCTTCTTGGAACCCGAGAACGCAACGGAGCAGCGAGAAGAGGGGCTGTCGAAAAGAATTAAACTGCTCAATGTATCTTTTTGGTGTCTTGTATGAAAATGTTTGTTTTCATAAATCAAGAATATTAACAACGAACTAGTCATTTTAAGACTATATTCAACATTTTCTAAAATCTTTTGTTTATGAACAATATGTTTGCTTGTGATAAATAACGAACTTAGTAGTCAGAGTAGCACAGTTTCTATAATATTTGGATGTCATTTAAAGAAGTTTTGTACTGACAATGGTTGGAAAAAGTATTTCGCATATCCTTTAAAACAGAACAACTTTTTCAAACTAATCCTAACTTCACAAAAAAAACTCAAGTCATTTGTTCTAATTTTAAAAAAGTAGGTTTGTTTTAAAGAGTGTGCGGATATTTCTTTACCCACTGCATATGTATGTCTAACTTATGTCACTAGTATAACACGAAACGTATCCCAGTTAGCACATGACGCCTTGAAGACGGCTTAAAGACGCCTCAGACTTAAAATAGCCGTAAAATGGACGTCTTCAAGGCGTCATGCGCTATCTCGGTATACTCCATATAACAGGGGGATCTATTTCATTTATTTAACAATTTACACCGATTTCGGATTCAAGAAGCGGAACGACATTTTACGTCCGACGATTCATAGCGACACCGTGCGGGTAAACAACGTAATTAACAGGTCCTATCTAACACACCACTTAAGGGGCTACCGTTATTCAATCCGAAAATTCAATAATGGTTCAACCACGGTGAAGGAGCGATCCCCGATGACTGGTCTAATCGTTCTTTCGATCTGTTACGTTTCAGCCGTTCATGGTGCCCATGAGAGTGCTGATGCTGTTAGGCGGCGGATTGCTGGCGGTGTTTGGAAGCGAGGCGATCGAGCTGGGCGGCGCCGGCCCGTTGGCGGTGGTTGCGGCCGCCTTCGTCAGCTGTTACTTCTGGCAGAAACAGGGCTGGGACGTCGACGACGTGAGTAGTACACTTTGCCCATTTCACAGTGATGCATTTGACCAGTGAACTCTTTAACCTTCGTATATACAGGGTTTCCCAAAATAGCTTCGACTCCCAGATATAAGGAGTTCTTGAGATAATTTGAAACAACTTTTTCCTTAGTGAAAATGTTATTCGAGGCTTTGGTAATGAGATATTAACGAAAAATCTCGACCAATCAAAGCGCGAGTCTGCCACCCGAGTGTCCGTGATAACGTTGGCTACGCGCTGCGATTGGTAGTCAAAATATGACCTTGAGAAAAATGTTTGCAAACAATATTTGCTCCTTCTAACCCAATAATACTTTTCCCTCGCAGTTTCTTGTATCTTCAAAAACAAGTGGAATATTGGAGGTGCTCTCGTTAGGTGGAACACCCTGTACCCGTTCGTGTGACAGTCTGCATTGCAAACGCTTGTACGCTTTAACGCTTGAACAAGCGACGTATCTTATGATCTCGCTCGTTGCTCGAATTTCAGCACCATAAAACTATCAAAGGAACCAGAACTGGCGTTACGTTCTCGAACGCGAGTATGAGCAATATTTGGGATCGTTGTAACGATTAGAACGGAAGCCAAAAGCCTCTTGTTGCCTGTTTTACTTATGCTGCGAAGCTTTAGTCTTCCGGGCTGCAATACCCACTCGTAAACACGCAGAGGAGCGAGACGTCTAACTTGGCCCCAGTGTACCGTTAAATTGCGTCTAAGTCAGCGTTTTGCGACTTGCAACTTGTTTCGGAAGTTACAAGCCAACGCGAAAATGTAGTATACGCCGTTGGATAATCTCGTACACCGGGACTATCTTACGGTATTCACAATTCTGTGAATAGACGTTGTTCTTTTGAGGAATGTACGGGAAGGCTTCTGAATTATACGTGAAAACTTGACTAATAAATCGTCTTTTACTATCTTCAATTTTTGAATCTGTAACTTAGTAGATGAGAAATTATTTCTTTGTTAGATCTTTTGTACTCATTTCGAAAGGAAACGGAACCTTTCCACGAGTAAAATAAATCGATTTAAAAAGAAAATATAAAGAAAAATGATAGAAGATGAATCATCTCATACATAATTAAGAATAATTAATAAAATAGTTTGCTTCCTCACGTATTTACATTGTCAGTAATATTCAAATACTAGATAGGACTACAAAGTTATAATTAACCATTTATAAACGATTTGAAGAAAGTAGAATAAATTAATTATCTGACGAAAACGGACTATATTAGTTACGTTAAACTAAAATTAGGAATAGAGGTGCAAGTGGAGTCCATTATTATTTTGCGTTCGGTTGTTCCAGTTGTCGCAAATCAACTCACCGGTTGCTTGTTAATGGCGTAAAATGCAATAATATCGCGGATGCGCCGGGAATCGCGGAAGTGGGTAAAGGGGGATAGTATAATATACCTTTTCTAGCGAATTAACGTTCCTATGAATGTACATTCCCGTTACTAATTAACAACGGTTTTAGTCGCGCCGAACGTTACCGCACAGGCTGTCATAACTCGCATTTTGAATTTCAATGATTCCATTAATTGCATTTCTGTCCCCTATGTCTACAGAGTAATCAACTTTTTACACTCGTATGAACTGATATTTAGTCAATTAAGCGAGTTTAGTCTTTTTTTTTATGGTTTTTTAAAGATTATTACGTACGAAATGGAAACAAAATGTTAATCTACTATCCAAGGTTTTAGACTGGATTGAAGAAATACTTTTGGAGTTTATAGAGATAAAGTATTTTTCATTTTTTTTCATTACTTGTTTATTAAAGGTTCAAACAATGTATAGTTTTGAGAATTGTTATAACAGATCTCTAGTATACCAAAACTACGATTCAATATTGTTACAATAAAGTATATGAACTAATTTGAAAAGATAAAAATTAATTGACGTAGTAAGGAAAAATCTGGTGATTTTTTTGCGATGTTAGATGTTTATCTTAAAGAATTATCATGTATAGATATTCTATATATCTGTTAGATATCTATACATAGAATCATATACAGATTGTTTTTTAAGGTGTACTTTAAAAATAAGTTAGATATTTTCAGAGGGTCAATGGATTTTGCAGGATAACAATTATTTTTTAAATTAAAATCTGGTTTTAAACGTTTCTTAGGATACAAATTTTCACGTAAATATTTTGAAGAACTGAAATTCTCATTGAAATATATTTACGGATTTTATTATGTAGGTACCTTCAGTTGTTTTTGATTTATACTATCAACTTTATTCCTGGAAATACATCAATTATTAATTGACACTGTAATATACTTACACAGGTCGGCTAGTTTTATCACCGAGGACCATTTCCTTATCAACGGCTATAAATTTATTTAAATGGCACCTTATTCCCCCCTCGGTAAACTCGATAACTTATTGCAGCGTAAACTACGCAGTCAGAATGATATATTACTTTGTGTTCTGATTCAAAATATTTCATCAGTTTCTACAGGAATTTAAATAAGTCATTCTTGCATAACAAAAGTATTTCGTTGCTCTCACACTTAAAAAACGGTAAAGAGGTACTTATAAATATACAATAGATTGAAAATTGCTTTCAACGCTCTGATAGACCACTTCATTACTATTGTAATAATGTCACGGTATTAGACTGCGGATATTTTATTACAAATTCAAATTGTTACATGTCAATTTACTGCAATGAAATTGTGATAGAGACTTCTTTCCTTTAGTAATAATTTCGTTAGATCCCATGTAAAGTAACAAATACATACTATTGTCAAAACAGTTGATTAAGAAACAATCAAAGTGTGCTTTATTTTGGTTTCATTTTTAAAGATCGCGTACCGGTTCGGCGATAAAGTGCAAGCATTGTGCGACTTAACAACTCCCTTTAGTAGCGTTCTTCCGCCACTTCCGTATTGCTTCTTCGAACACCACCTCACAGACCTTCGGCCATTACCTGCGATCGTTTTATTTTCAATAAACCGGCTGCACACGCCCGCTCGACAGAATGAAAAGCGCCGTCACTTATCGTTGGCCTCGAGCCCCACTGCCCATAAGTCGAACGAAAAGTCTGACGCCGGTCACCGACAGCCCCATAACACCGAGCGCGTTAATATTTTCCACAGTTTACTCGTAAATCCTCCGGCACCAAGGCTCAGCACGTTCCTCCGTGTCGTGGCTGGGTAACCAGTACCTATCGGAATACGATTCAAATTTTACACACCGTGTTACGTCTTCGATGTGTCAGTGTTGCTCTTTTGGCTTGCAGAATTGATTTTCGCCGGCGAAATTGCTCGATTGATCGGCGTGATATAAGGCTGTCCTACGTAAGTGTCCCTACGAAATTTCAGAAACAGCCTCGAACTTTACAAAAAATTGTGTTATACAAGATTTTAACTATATTTAAGTGTGTATAATTTTTGTAAAACAGAGTTTCTTTATCTGTATGTTGTAAGTGTTCAATTGTGTGGGAACGGTCAATTACGACTTTAATGATTACCAGACGAACGAATTCCAAATTTACTCACATTTATTAATGAATATTAAATATCATAAAATATAAATATATAAAAACTTAAGCACCAATTCAGAGTGCTTTGGTACTAAAATTCGAATGTAAAGTTAGTCACTTACCACTATACTTCGGCGCTACCGATCCGCCATCTTGGTGTCGGAATATGGAAACACTTCGATGAAACGGCTCAAATTCGCGTATCGCTTCGCCCGCCACGCTTCGATATTTACCGGCGTTGTTTGCCTTTAATTCAGATTACGTAACGTATTCTGCTGCGTGTTGATTTATTTTATTTAATTCCGCCTGACCCTCGTATTATGAGCTACGTGATCATTTACACATCGGCTAGGCAACGCTTATTGATGTTGCGTGCTGATGACAAATCGGGAAAAGCGCTCGAGTAAATGATACTAATACACAATTGAGAATGTATAAATAATTGATTGGTATATTTTCGGCAATTGGAGTTGATTATGTGTGTAGCAATGAACAGAAATTCTGCTGTTAACACGTTGACTGTCAGTCAAATCTAGTATACCGTCGTTGACAAATATTTGTTCATTCATATTAGATTCACTTCACTAAAAAATGTACCAAATTTTTCAACACAACTAGTTTCCTTCACAACAAGGACTAGAAAGTAGGAAGAGACCATGATTATTGTAAATTTACAAAGTAAAATGTAAAATGGAAATGAGTAAACGGTTCTTTACTTAGAGGGCAAATAAATACTTAGTAGACTGTGAAGGTTTATGGTAAATTCATATTTCTACGAATGAAACAGAAACTTCGTTTCTCTATTTTAATTAGATTGAAAATAAGACAAAAGTTTCTTTCAATTTTGGTAAAGGTTTTACTTGCCTGAGTTTTGCACTTAGGTAGTGCTATATGTCCTGTTCGCGTGTGAAATGTTCACTGTGTCAAACAAATAATAATAAAATCCAAAAAAAGACTGAATCGACCGGTGTCAATTATGTTGTATATTTATCTTGCTGGCATTCATTAATTATTCTTTCTGTAATTATTAGTTAATTCACCTTCACCCTCGATAGAACCTTTAGAAAACGGGTAGTTTTTCTCGTCACTTTCTATAAATATTTTCAACTTTTTGATATTATAATATAGATATCAAAATAAAATTTTCTAAAGTAATTTATAAAGACAGAAACAAATGTAAAAATTTATTTTTCCTCCTAAGTATCTTATGGGGTTCAGATTAAAATAAAGAAATCATTGGATTCGATGAATGTTTTGCTGTTTATTGTATTTCACAGAGCTCTATGAGCTATAAATGCATAAAATCCGCAGTCTAGCTATCACCGGTTCAATCTCATCACGGAATTAGTCACAAAAGCCTCTTCTTCGCCACGGCTTCTAACCCTGTCTCTCTGCATACCGTCTAGGAACTGCTCTGTAGCTCATCAAAACTCGGCTGGTACGAAACGTGAATGTTTAATAAGCGTATAGAATAAGCAAATCTCCTGCTCTATGAGGA